AGCCGGCGGCGGGCTTAAGCCCGGTGGTCGACGAGGGGAGATGTCGACCTGAAAGGGGGCGCCGACTTTGGGAGGTCGACTTGGGAGGTCGACCTGGGAGGGCGTTGACTTCGTGACGCTGACCTGGGGAAGCCGGGTGGGTGCAGTGGGCGACCAGCAAGCTGGTCGACCAGAAATGGTCAACCTGGGGATGTGACCGACTTTGCGGAGTCGGCAGGAGGTGGTCGTCGATGTGGGTGGTTGATGGGCACATGGAGTAGCATTTGGTCGACGTGGTTGCCCGGTCGACCGAGTTACCCGGGCGACGGGGATCTGTGGAAGCACGTGATAGTCACCCAGGTGGTTATGGCGAAGGCGACCTCGGAGGTGGTATCCTAAGGTCAACGTGGTTGATCAAGCGCAGTCAACAGCACGTGGACAACTTGGTGTCTGCGCTGTACACGTGACGGAGCACAGCACACCAACCAGCTGCGAGCACCTGCAAAGCGGGTGCATTGCTATCATGCGAGTGCAACGCTGTGCAGCCGCCTTGCTGCAGTGGTGGCACGTCGTCGACTTGCAACGTTGGCAGGTTGCCACTTTGCACTGCTGGAGCACAGTCGACATTGTTATGCTGGAGCGCGGTCGACCGTGCTGTGCTGGAGGCCGACTTGCTTGCATGCTATCTTCTAATGTAGTCAGTGTTGCTTTGCCTAGTTCAATCATTGTTGTGTATCTTTGTTAGTGAAACTCTTGCCGATTCTTCCCTTGAATATGTGCATGGAGAGAACACAAGCAAACACGCAAGGAACGCTACGATCACCCACACACCCGTGCCTTTCCCTTAGTCGTGTAGTTTATCTCCGCGGTTTCCAACTTTGATAACGTCACGGGATGATAGGCTTATCCAAAACTTCTTGAACCGCCTGGTTGGGACTACCCCCGTGCCTTGTCCAGCATCTACTTCTTCATCACATGCTTGATCATGCCGCAGAAAATGTCGCTTTCAACCTTGATAACGCCGCGGTACAAATTCTGCTTGTCTAGGACCGCTTGAAGCAACTGGCCGGGACTACCGTTCGAACCAATCTCCGCTGTCCCCTTGAAGTTGTAGTGTTTCAGGGGTTTCTGTACCATTCCGATCTTATATTTCCAGGCACTGTACCGACGCTGTACCGCCGGACAGGCTGTAGTGAAGCCAACGTAAGCAGGCTTGATCCCCTTCGACCGGACATTGTAGACATGCGCATAAATGACATACCACCCAGTGTCTCCTGGAAAAAATGCATGGCATAAGAGGCACGAAAGCGAAAAGAAATAAAGTAATCATTTTATTGAACTATCATAGATGCAGTAATGTCTCGTCTAACAGTGCTACCATGTTCATTTCATGGAGCACCGAGATATGACAAAACCTTTCAGAAGTATGTCAGGCATTTGCAGCTTAAGAGATGTTTAACCGATAATTTTGACAAGTCAATATTTTCTCTTGCCATCTCGCGATGCGTCACACGCCCCTTGTACCTGGCAGGACTCACATCCGACCTCAAGTGGTCTGCAATGTGACCAAGAGGTAAGGAAAAACAACAAGCACAATTGGTATTAGACATGCCACATCACTCCTCGACGCTAGTACAAGCCGAGATGAAATGGGATTAGAAAATAACCAAAGAAAAAGCCTTGAATAGCTGATAGAAGTATTAGGCAACGAGAACTAGGCCAATTCTCTCAATCACGCGAGACTCAGTTGCAACAAAACGTATACAGCCAACCATGTGAGGCACTCACAAGCGGTTTCTCGAGACACCAAGCTGCGTCGGCTCGTCTCCCTGCAAGCTGTTGTGACACTTATCACCGTCTACTAGTAAGGTTGTCTTTAAGGTGCCTAACTCACAAGCTCACTTGCCTCTTCGTTTCTTAGGTGCCTCTGAACTCCTCTCCCAGGTCCTTCCCTTGGCTGATCCATCGCAACTCTTCGTGCGATGCGATGTTGTTGATTGCCAGTCGAACCGCGAGGTAGGTGGGTGTGATATAAGTGATCATAGAATGGTGGTGTTAGAGTGGCTAAGACTAAGAGGTGGGACGTGGGTCAAAGTAACCCATTATGGTTTCCCGACAGCACCATAAGATTACTAAGCGTAATCACGGATAGCAAACAAGCTACGTTTTTACCACCACAAGCCATGGGATTTTCAGGATCAGTTAGTAACTGCTTTATAGCGGACTGGTGAGGGGCGAAGATCCTACTTTGTCATGTGCTGTGAGGATGACCAATTGATTACAGCTTATCTACCACACCTCAAACATCAATACTCACCTCCGTCGCCTACAGAAGAAACACTTCTTCACACCTTCCCGTGGTACCCACCCATTTCAACAATGGGTGCCAACACAAGAATATCCTCAACAAAGGAGCGACACGAGCCCTAATGCGAGTTTCTAATTCGCGCCGCATCAGCTTCGCTCGTGCAGGTTGGTGTCAACGGGAGTTGTATGTTGGCCCCGTCCACGCTTGGGCGGAGCCGACATCGTGGTCGGGTGTTAGGGGAGCAGCCGACCTGCAGCAGTGGGCGAGCTGGTCGACGAGGAGGTCGACCTGCACGGGGACCACTGCACGGGCGCCGACTTCAGGGTGGCGCCAACTTCGGGGAGGTCGACGGGCACGTACGGGAGTTGCTGGTTGACATGGAGGTGGTCGTCGACTTGGGAGGTCGACGGGCACGTACGGGAGTTGCTGGTCGATGAGGTTGCCCGGTCGACCAGGTTACCTGGGTGACGAAGTGCTGCGGAGGAGTGTGACGGTCGCCCATGCGAAGTTGGCGAGACCGACCTCGGTGATGGTATCCCGAGGTCGTCGTGGCAGATCAGAGGTAGTCGTCAGCCAAAGGCTGACGTGGTGTGTGTGCTGTGCAGGTGACGAGACTCTGCACACCAATCATCTGCACGCACCTGCAAAGCGGGTGCAGTGCTGGCACACCGTCAACCTGCAGCGTTGGCAAGCTGTCGACTTTGCACTGCTGGAGCGCGGTCGACCAAGTCGTGTTGGAACGCGGTCGACCATGCTGTGCTGGCAGTTGACCGACCTGAATGCTAGCTCTGATGTAGTCTTGCATTGCCAACTTCATTGTACCATTGTTGTCATCTTTTGTTAGTGAAACTCTTGCCAAATTGCTCCGTGAATTAGCAAGTAGTGTGAGCACTAGGAAAACGTCTAAGGACCAACGAACACAGAGATCACACGAGCACACGTGCCTAGCCAGTAGACTAGCTCCCGTTGTGGTAGTTATCTCCACAGTTGGAACTTGGAAACAAGGTTTGCAACTTTGCCAATAAGAGCCTTCAAGTTGAAGATTGGAAGATTAGATTCTCTTGCTAGCGCAACCCAAATCCGTCGAAGTTTTAAGTTTCGAGACGTAGGCTGTGGACCCTAGTCTAGAAAACCGATTTTTAGATAATTCCTAGGTATCAACAATGCGAGGTGTGGGGTTGTGCAGCTAACTACTGGCGTTGCACTCCTATGTGGTAATTTACCAACTTCCTTGATTGGCGATTATGTCATGGTACCAGCAAGAGCGAACGCACCTCTTAGTCTGGCGCCTGGTCGGTGAAAATCGTCCAGAATAAAGTACTGTACGCACCAAGGGGGGGATGAATGCCGCACACTGCTTCCACTTTGGCAACCAACGAAGCCCCCCAGTACGACTAGAGAAGCAGGACAAGAGGCCTGAACTTGAGGGCGTGTTATAGTTCAGAAAATTTGAAAGATTGCGGCCGTTCACAGTGTCAATGGGAGTTGTGGTTGGCCCCGTCCTCGCTTGGGCAGAGCCGACTACGCCGTCGGGTGTACGGGGAGTGCACCCGATCAGCTACGGTGGGCGACGCCGAGTTCGGCACGCAGATCGACGGGTTTGGTCGACCTGCACGAGGCCACTGCCACGTCACCGACAATAGGGAGCCGGCGGCCGACTGACTCGGTGGACGACGAGAGCGGGGCGCCGACGTCAACCTGGACAGGGGAGCTGGAGGGCGCCGGGTAGCAGGGCGCCGAGTCGGTGTGGCCGACCTGGGAGGCCACCGGGTGTCGACCAGCTGGCGCCGACTTTGGGGACGCCGGCCTTTTGTTGGCGGCGACCAACCAGGCGTGGTTGCCTGGTCAACCGAGTTACCCGGGCGACGGGTACAATGGTCGACCGGGTGGCATCTTCGAGGCCGACTTCAGAAGTGGTATCCCGAGGTCGACGTGGCTGGTGGGTGCATTCGCTGGCATATTCTCGGCCTGACGTCTGCGCTGTGCATGACGAGGCGTGGTACACAAACCAGCTGCGCGCACATGCAAAGCGGGTGCACCATTGTCATGCGGGTGCAACACTGTGCAGCCGACTTACTGCAGCGTTGGCACACTGTCGACTTGCAACATTGGCAAGCCGCTTCTCTGCAGCGCTGGAGCAATGCGAGCTTTGCAACGCTGGATCGCCGTCGACCGTGCTGTGCTGTAAGTCGACCTGCATGCCTACTGTCTCTGATGTAGTCGACCTTGCCAATGTTGTTGCTATCATTCTGAACCATTGTTGTGAACTTTTGCTAGTGAAACTCTTGCCGAATCTCCCAGTGAATACTCAAGTAGTAAGAGCACGAGTAAAGGACTAAGGGAACGAACGTAGAGATCCCTCTCACACCTGTGCCTAGCCCGTAGACCAGCACCCATTGATTGAGTTATCTTCGCATGGTGTGGTGAGTGTGGACGTCCTTCAGTCTAGCCGACTTTGTGGCACGATACCTATTTCGTTCGTAGGCCGGCAGCTGTGTTAGTCACCATGGTAGGCGCCGTAGGTGACGCAGAGGTGGTGGACACTTTGGGGGCACGGTTGGAGGATGCGAGGAGACGCCACTTGGCTAACGAATACGGGGAGACACTCCCCCTGGCGATCGTCGAGGTGGGCATCCGCGCTTTGTGGGCGGCGGAGCACCCTCCCCAGCCCGCTGTGCCTTGTGGGTTTTTTTTTTTTTTTTTGCGCTAAAGCATGCCATCCGAGAGGGATTTAGAGCGGGCGCTGCGTATAGAGTAGTTGTCGAAAAGAAGAGAGGCGTGGGACACCGTTTCGAAGGATCTCCAACCGTGCGCCAAGCCTTGCACCTGTATGGAGCGGAGCGTGTCACAATGTTATGTTTATCTAGCCTGCAGTGGGGTACTCAATAGTGAGTACAGCCCAGCTTAGGGTTTCCTATATGTACTCAACTGCTTGCTAGTGAACCCCCCTCTTCTTCATTTCTCATTTTCGTTTCTTTACATGCTATCAGAGCATCTACGGTCCTGGCCTGTGGGCCCACCTAACTGCTTCCGCTGCTACTCTGTGTTCGGCACGCCCCGTGGCGTGCCCCTCGCCCCACTCTTAGCGGCCCCATTGCCGCCCTTCCAGACCCCTCGCGGCCCCTTTGCGGCCCCGTTGCCGCCCTTCCAGGCCCCTCGCAGCCCCTTTGCGGCTCCGTCGCCGCCCCTTTCGCGGCCTGTCGCCGCCCTTCCAGGCCCCTCGCGGCCCCTTCGTGGCCCCGTCGCCGCCCCTATCGGCCCCATCGCCGCCGCCAACGGCCCCGTCGCCGCCGCCAGCGGCCCCGTCGCCGACCCTAGCGGCCCCATCGCCGCTCCTATCGGCCCCGTCGCCGCCGCCAGCGGCCCCCTCGTCGCCGTCAGCGGCCCTGTCGCCGCCTCCATCGGCCCCGTCGCCGGCGCCAGCGGCCCCGTCGCCGCTGCCAGCGGCCTCGTCGCCGACCCTAGCGGCCCCGTCGCCGCTCCTATCGGCCCCGTCCCCGCCGCCAACGGCCCCGTCGTCGCCGCCAGCGGCCTCATCGCCGCCTCCATCGGCTCCGTCGCCGCCGCCAGCGGCCCCGTTGCCGCCGCCAGCGGCCCCGTCGCCGACCCTAGCGGCCCCGTCGCCGCTCCTATCGGCCCCATCGCCGCCGCCAGCGGCCCCGTCGTCGCCGCCAGCGGCCCCGTCGCTGCCGCTAGCGGCCCCGTCGCCGCCGCCAGCGGCCCCGTTGCCGACCCTAGCGGCCCCGTTGCCGCTCCTATCGGCCTCGTTGCCGCCACCAGCGGCCCCGTCGTTGCCGCCAGCGGCCCCGTCGCCGCCTCCATCGGCCCCGTCACCGCCGCGAGCGGCCCCGTCGCCGCCGCCAGCGGCCCCGTCGCCGACCCTAGCGGCCCCGTCGCCGCTCCTATTGGCCCCGTCGTCGCCGCCAGCGGCCCCGTTGTCGCCGCCAGCGGCCCCGTCCTCGCCTCCATCGGCCCCATCGCCGCCGCCAGCGGCCCCGTCGTCACTGCCAGCGGCCCCGTTGCCGCCTCCAGCGGCCGCGTCGCCGCCACTTGCGGCCCCGACCCCGCCCCGGCCACGCCCCGTCGCCAGCCGCGGCGCACCGGGGGCACGTGCACTGCCCCCCCCCCCCCCCCCCCCTTTTCCCGTCGCCTGTTGAGGCGACCTGAGGGGGCCGCGTGCGACCTGGGGGGGGGGGCGAGCGTGGCCCCTTCTGCCGCCTGTTTTGCCGCCCTGTGTTAGGGTTTGGGGGTGGCGAATAGGGGGTGACGGGTGTGTGGTCTCCCCTGCTCCTCCTCCTCCTTCGTCTCCCACTGCTGGAGCTGTCGCTGAGGGGGGTGGATGTGCGGGAGCCTGGGGTTTAGGGTTGAAGGGGGGTGCTGTGGGAGTGGAGCTAGGGTTTTGAGGGAGGTGGATGTGTGTGAGCCTGCGGTTTAGGGTGTAAGGGGGGTGCTATGGGAGTGGAGCTAGGGTTTGAGCAGGGGGTGTGTGTCAAGAGGTGTGGGGCAGCTGGAGGAGGTTGGTTGAACGGAGGTTGTCGTCGTGTCGTCAGCAGCACCAGTAGTCCGGGGCGCTGCTCCGGTAGCCCAGTCGTAGCCAGCTGTGCCAGTCGCCCGTGGGTCCGTTGCTCGTCTGCCGCTAGTCTTAGTTGCGGAGCCAGTTACTCCAGTAGTCCGGAGCGCTGTTCCGGTAGCCGCTGTGCTAGTGTGACTCCTGTTGCCCGTGTGTCTGCAGCTTCAGCCGTCGCCTCCTATCTCCTCTCCTCTTATTGTCTCGCCTCCTACTCCTCACTTGCCCTTTGTGAATGACTAGCTTTGCTCGCTATTGTGAACTCCTGCTCTATGCCTGCTTGCTCATTGTGCTGATTACACCCCACTTTGGCTATGGGGGTGTGTCAGAATGTTATGTTTGTCTAGCCTGCAGTGGGGTACTCAATAGTGAGTACAACCCAACTTAGGGTTTCCTATATGTACTCAACTGCTTGCTAGTGAACCCCTCTCTTCATCCTCTCGTTCTAAACTTCACAGACCGGCCACCCAATCACCTCCGAAGTGGACCGCTACGACTTCTTTGATATTGAAGATACCGGAACCGAGGGGAGTACGCTCAAAGAATCTGTTTGGCAATACCTGGTGAAGATTGGCGAAGAGCAAGAAAGGAGGGGTGAACGAGGTCGTTTGGAGTATGAGGGAAGGGGCATAGTGTAGGTCGGAGAGTGGGATAAACCAGTCCCCTGGGGAGGCAGAGGCAAAGGAGGGGGCAAGAATCTCATCCTGCCACAGATTGAGAACCGCTTCCAGAACAGCAGAGATGACTTAGTATTTCGATTGACGTAAACCCCATGCAATAGGGGAAATTGGGTACATGGTAACCAAAAGAGGGCTAAATAAAGCCCACGTGAACAATTTAAACGAGGTTTCACGCGTCATGTAACTGGTTTCATGCATTTGATAACTGCAACACTGGCAATGTTCACCCCAATGATAACTCGAAGAAAGCCCCGCCCGACCTGACACTTCTTTCAAGGTTTTCCTGCTTGCGCCAAACTTGATCGACGAATCCTAACTTACCATGCTCTTTTAAACTGTCTCCATTCAGCAGAAATTACGCGCTCTAATTGCGATGCACATATTTCGCAAAATGAATCACTATCGCCGCACCCTTTCAGAATACCATTTTTTTTTTTTTTTTGATTCTCATTTTTTGTTTAGCATATAGCGCAAGACAATTACAAGCAGTTTTTAGTTCAAATGTTGCAATACATCCATATTGATAGCTGTACCAATCATTTTTTCTTGCAAAAATAAAAACCCCTCTCAGATGGCATGCGAATCTGAAAGCATCAACTCTAAGCGCCTTGTGGGATTCGCTAAAGCATGCTATCCGAGAGGGATTTAGTTTTATCCGTTATGTATAATATAACCATGATTTAACTATTTGAACATTTCGAGACCTAAATGTTTGTGGCATTCAGAGGATCGCATCATGAAAGAAGTGTTAGGGATCAGAGAAATGAAAATGCTTGAAAATTATTGGTCCATGGAAATAAACATAAATGCCTTTCCGAAATAGCGATGTGAGAACCGTTTTAAGATCTTAAAATTGTGAGTTACATCTCACTAAAATGAAACTGTTGCTAATTACTTTTCGCGTGATCTTTTGGCAGTAATTAGTGACCAAACACATGATACGAGTTGAACGTGTGACATGAGTTACTAAGATTGCATTGCGAAACACGAATTTGGCAAAGCGTCAGAAGCCTTATAAGTGTACAGAAGTCAAATTATGTCAAATACTGTACTTCTGGCTGAGACACGATTGTCGCGAAGCGACAGAAGTTAAATTACGACTTGTCAGAATGTTATTATCTAGACTGTAGTGGGGTGCTCTATAGCGAGTACAACCCAGTTAGTGTCAAAGTTTAGAAGAAAGAAAAGGGTTTGCACTAGCAAGCAGCAAGATACATATAGGGAACCCTAAGGGGTTGTACTTGCTATAGAGTACCCCACTGCAGGCCAGAGAACAAAGATAACATTCTGACACACCCCCATAGCCAAAGTGGGGTGTAATCAGCAGAGCAAGCAAAGCAGTATAAGCTCAGGGTGGATCACAATGTCACCACACATTCTGAGCACAAGTTCAAGAAGCAATAGTTCAAAGTTCACAATTATGAGCAAAGCTAGAGGCTATCGCAGAGGGCATGTTTGGAGGAGGGACTATGGGGGAGAGAAGATGGGAGGCGACTGCTGACGCTGCAGACACATAGACGAGCTGCTGGCTCAGTGGCTACCGGAACAGCGCTCCGGAATACTGGAGTAACTGGCCCCGCGGCTAAAAGTAGCGGCAGACGAGCAACGGACCCACGGGCGACTGGCGACTACCGGAGATTATAGCCTCCGGACTGCTGCCGCTGCTGACGACAAGACTGCTGCCTCCACTCAACCTCCCCCAGCTGCCCAACGCCCCTCTTACACACCGGCTGCTACACCCCTAGATCCACTCCCCCTTCACCCCCCCTTAGTACCACTCCACCGGCTCCAACAAGTTCACCCCCCTTCAGCGGTAGCTGCAGCACAGGGAGACGGAGGAGGAGGAGGAGCAGGGAACGACACACAGTAGGTTCACCCCCATACCCCCCACCTCCAAACCCTAATCCAGGAGAATGGGGCGTAGGAGGGGAGGGGCGCTAGTAGAAGCACTGGGGGACAGCGGGGAGGGCAGGGGCAGCAAGAAACGGGCCCACCACGGGCCTGGTACAGTCACCCAAGCCGCGCGCAGGCGGCCCGAGCCGCGCGCAGGCGGGCCTGGCGCCGCCAGTACGGGCCGCGCGCGGGCCTGGCGCAGCCCGTACGGGCCGCGCGCTGCCTGTACGGGCCGCGCGCAGGCCACGACGGGCGATGGGGGGGCCACACGCGGGTCCCCGTCGCCCGTCGCGTCGCCTCCCGAGGGCGACACGCCAAATGATGGGGCAGAAGCCCGCCGCGCGCCTCGGGGCGCACAGCGGGCAGAGAACCGCCGCGCGCCTCGGGGCGCACGGCGGGAAGAAAAACTGCCACACGCCACAAGGCGTGCGGCACCGAGAGTAGTGGTAGTAGTTGCAGCGGAAGCAAGGAGGTGGTAAGCCCACCCACAGGATCGATCCAATGGGATCGACCTGCTCTGATACCATGTCAAAGTTTAGAAGAAAGAAGAGGGTTTGCACTAGCAAGCAGCAAGATACATATAGGGAACCCCAAGGGGTTGTACTCGCTATAGAGTACCCCACTGCAGGCTAGAGAACAAAGATAACATTCTGACAGTTAGGGTTTGCTATATGTACCCCAACTGTTGCTAGTGAAACCCCTCTTTTTCGTCATTCGTCTTTCGCACACTCTTGTTGATTTTGACATGCTATCCGAGCAGGTCGACCCCCTTGGGTCGATCCTGTGGGTGGGCCCGCCACCTACTGCTTCCGCTGCTGTTCTGCTTCTCGCGCGCCTCGAGCGCGTGCCGTCTTCTTCCTGCAGCGCGCTCCGCGCGCGGCGCAATTTTTTGGCGTTTTTCATCCCGCCGTGCGCTCGGGGCGTGCGGCAGTTTTCTGCCCGCCGTGCGCCCCGAGGTGCGCGGCTGTTTCCTGCCCGTCGTGGCGCCCCTGGGGACCTGCACGCTGCCCCCCGTCGTCCTCCTCCCGTCGCCTCGTCGCGGCGCCTTAGGGGCTCGCGCGTCCCCCCCCCCCTCCCGTCGCCTCGTCGCGACACCTTGGGGGTCCGCGCGTCGCCCCCCTCCCGTCTCCTCGTCGCGGCGCCTAAGGGGCCCGCACGCCGTGTGAAGAAATGAGGAATGTAAGAACTAGCAGGCAGGTGGGGGAGAGCAAGAGGTCACAAGACCAGTCAAGCAAACCAATACAAGCTCAGGGTGGATCACAACGTTGAGAAAACTGAAACGGGAATGGAATGATTAAGTGAAAATTGGGTACAAATACAACCCTAGAAAGCTGTACCCCATATGTGCTACCCCAGTATAGCCTACAACAGCTATGTCATACAAATCTGACACACCCCCATAGGCAAAGTGGGGGAGAACAAGGGGTCACAAGACCAGTCAAGCAAAGCAAAGCAAAGCTCAGGGTGGATCACAAAGTCACCACACAGTCCGAGCACAAGTTCAAGGCCAGACGGCCAGTTCACATGCAGGAGCACACATATATATTCAAAAGGCTAAAAAGCAAGAGCAGAAGTGTATACATGTGACAGTACAAGCAAGGTCAAGAAGTGAGCAAGCGAGGCAAGACAAGCACAAGACCAAGCTGAGTACAGAAGCGCTGATGATCACAAGGCGCAAGAGCCTTAGTGAAGATATCAGCAGTGTTGGCCTCAGAGGCCACATACGCAAGTCGTTATTGACCACGCTGCTGCAGTTCACGAGCAAGAAAGTAGCGGAGAGCAATGTGCTTCGTTTTGTGCTCCAGGCGCTGCTCCCGACACAGGGCCAACATGGCCTTGTTGTCTACGTACAGCACTGGAGGAGAACGATGCGGCTCTCCGAGGCCAGTCAGTAGGTAGGTGAGCCAGCGTAGCTCCTGAGCAGCCATGGCTCCGGCGTAGATCTCAGCCTCACAACTGGAGCCGAGAACAGAAGACGAGCGAGTAGCCCACCACGAAACAGAGACGGAACCAAGGCTGAAGGTGTAACCGTGTGACGACCGCTGTGTAGCCTGGTCGTCAGCCCAAGAAGCGTCTGCGTGCCCAGTGAGGACCACAAGA